GCTGAACTTTTTCACCGGTTCATCTTTCTTCCTCTTTTTTCCTCCTGGAGAGAAAAGGAAGACAGATGGACTGGCGCAAAAGTTCAGCCAAAAAGAACAGGCCTAATACCTCGGATTCATCATCTGTCCTCGTTTAACATTTAATGTTAAAGAAGGACAAATGACGAATCCGAAGCATCGGAGGCATCCGAGCGACGGTTCCGAACGCAGCCATAGTTATGTTCGAATTAGGAAAAGATAGAAGCGGGAAACGCACTCACCAATCGTTTCCACGACGAAATAAGCTGCCATCGGGAAACGCAACGAGGATATATTGGAACGAACGCGTCCGGCCGCAACGAGGGTTCATCTGGATCGCCCTTATCGATCCGGCGCTTTAAATAAAGAAACTTTTGACTTTTGCTTGCTCGAGAGGACGGTTGATTCGCCGCGCGCGCGCGCGCGCGCACTCGCACGGAGTCGAAATAAAAATAGACGCGATACGCGACGTTCGCGCCGCGATAGCCGGCTTGACTATTTTCGAACGACGGCCGCTCGGCATGAGCCTCGTCCCCCGGATGGCGAGATCGTGACTTCGCACACGCGTCACGACTGAAGAAGCGACTGGAAGCAACCGTTCGCGCGCGAGATCACTTCCTTTTCATCGCCGGCACACGACATTTGACCCACGGAACGCGTTCACTCGAGTCAGTACGCGACGCGAGTTTGACTAACATTCACGTATGCAATTCGAAACGCGGCGATCATCAGTGAAGATTCAACGCGAAAAAGAGCGAGAACTTTTTACGCAGCTCCGCGATTCGGATCAACACGCGACGCCATTACGGAAATCGTTTCGCGTTGTGATGAAAATTCAAAACTGCGAAAATTGACAACGTCGATCAACTTCGCGCGATAAGGAACATATTCAGGGCACTCGAGAGTCGATCGCGCAGGCGTGGCGCTGCATTCAAAAGTACAAAAACGTTAACTAATATATATCTTTTGAAATTATTAAGTAGATCCTTTGACTTTTTTATATTTTTTTCGTTATAATTATATAAGGCAACGTTTCCTTGCTGCTCTTTTACGACGTGCTGCCTGATTATAATTATAGAGTTTTATTTATAATTATTTATTGTAAATTAAGAAGATACACACAGATAAATGAATAATAGTCAATTAATCATATACTTCGTAGTAACAATTATTAAAATAGTAAACTAGACATCTGTCACGGAATAAATTCCGATTGGAAATAAATAAAGCATGACATCGGTTTTGTATATTTCATATTTTATTTTATATACATATAAAATATATTATATATCTAAAATATATTTAAAAAAAAGAGCTTGTAGCCCTTTTCCTTTTCATTTTTTTAATTTTATTGAGCCTTATTATTAATATATAATACTATTATATTTTATATATTTTTTTAATCTTTTTCAACTTTTTAACTATCGCAAAAGTTATTCTTGGACAACGTATGTTATGTATATATATTTACATTTTCCGGTATTATCGCTTTAAAAATGATCTTCAGGACGCAATTAACTGCAACAAGGCATGAAATGTCCATGAAAATTTCCTCGTTCGACGCGATTACCGCGTCATGCGTAATGGAAAATAATCGATAATATCCGTGATAGTCACCGAACTGACCGAACGTCAGTCGACACTCGACCGGCGAAGCGCCGTACGGCGCCTGTTAAAGATCGCACTGACGTGAAGGTTATGCGTTCACGTTACTTATAAACATTGTAGGCGCATTATTTTCAATCGTTCTACCGCTCCTGGAAGACGCACGATGGCCAGCCTACTTGCTCCTCTGCTCTTCGTCGTCGCTCTTGCTGCATCGCTGCCAATCTTGGGCGACACCGCCTCAGCGCACATCCACACGCATCAACACAACAAAGCCGACAACAATGAAAGGACGGAAAACGGTGCCTTCAGTCCTCGCGACACCGATCACTATGTGGAGGGCGAACACCACGAAGAATTTGATCATGAAGCCATCCTAGGTATGAACAAGATGACTTACTAGATTTTCAAGACTTAACATTTGGAGCTCTTTTGACGTCCTCGTGAATCTTTTATACTTGCTTCGGTTTTGTATTTATGAATAATAATTGAAAATTCATATCTTCCATATACCGCTTTATCTTGTTGAAGCTCCTTTTATGAAAATTAGATTTTTTGTCAACAAAGAAAAAAATGAAAAAAAACACTGTTATTGTCATCTAATTTGCTTAAGTGGATACTTATCGTCTTGAATATTTTATTTTATTGTGTGTAGGAAGTGTAAAGGAAGCAGAAGAATTCGACAGACTTCCAATACAAGAATCAAAAAGGAGATTAGGAATTTTATTGACCAAAATGGATCTGAATAATGACAAGTATATAGAGAGAAATGAATTGAAAGCTTGGATCTTGCGTTCGTTTAGGTAATATCAAGTAATTTGTTGAATGTCATGTTTATCTGTTCAAGGACTTCGGTTAATTAAACTGTTTTGTAAATAGCACACTATCTACAGAAGAATCTGAGGATCGCTTGGACGATGCTGATACGAATGAAGATGGTAAAGTGACTTGGGAAGAAATTTTACAGGATACTTATGGCAACGATCCTGAAGACCTAGCTCTTGATGACAAGTTAATCCAAGATGACAAGCAGACATTCAAGGCTGCAGATTTAAACAAAGATGGTTATTTAGATACAGAGGAATTCAAGGCTTATACACATCCTGAAGAAACACCTAGAATGTTTCCACTTTTGTTGAAGCAAGCCTTGGCTGACAAAGATACAGATGGAGATGGATACATTAATTTTCAGGAGTTTATTGGTGACAGAGCCAAATCAAAAGATAAGGAATGGTTGTTAACTGAAAAAGATAAATTTGATTACGAACATGACAAGAATGGGGATGGTAGACTCGATTCAGATGAAATTCTTTCTTGGCTTGTACCAAGCAATGAGTGAGTATACTATAATATGTGGAATATTAAAAATTTCATTACACATGCAAAAAAAATTATTAAAATTTTATTAAAACATTTTATTAAAATTTCATTATTTCAATAACGATAATCTCAAATGATCATAAATCTCATTTAAAATATAATTTTTCTCTTATATCTATAATGATAAACGTTCCTTCCTTTTTCTTTACATTTGCATATCCATATTTATACATATCTATATTTATAATGACAATTATATATTTTAACATAAATTGCAATATTATAACACAATTTTATATCATATCAAAATTGTCTAATATTAGTCTAATATTACTGAATTTCATAATAACGGCTTCTTAAAAAATTTAAGCAATTTTTGTATTGCAAATTTTATTTTGCTGATATAAATGATATCACTTTTTCATATCTTTTTGTTGATGTTTATTTCAGAGAAATAGCAAATGATGAAGTAGATCATCTGTTTGCGGGTTCAGATGACGATCACGATAATAGATTATCCTTTGACGAGATCTTGGATCATCATGATGCTTTCGTAGGTAGCGAAGCGACGGACTATGGTGATCATTTGCAAGAGATTGATCGTTTTAATGATGAACTTTGAAAATCAACAATTAGTTGAATTGATATAAAAAAATACTGTTATCTGTCGTAATACTCATATCAGTATGATGTGTATAATTGAAAATATTTTTAATATACTGCTCAAGAGACAATAACACAAGACTATTCCTTTAAAAAATTCTATATATAAATCTAAACGGAAGTGTTCAAAAAAATAAAAATACTATGTTTAATACAATTGTACGTATAGTAACAAGTTTATTAAACATTAAAATCATAAAATTATAATTGAGAGAAATATTCAAAATCTACTAAATTTATTGAATCATGTATAGATTCACTAGAAAAAATGTTCCATTAATCATTTTGAGCAGTATATTTATTAATATTTTTTTCTACCTCCCTTTTAGCCTTTATCTGTTTGATCAATCTATTTATGCAGTCAGAACAAATTTTTATTGATAATAAGTCACACACGCTGGATTAATGAAATTTGCACATCTTGTATATTTACGACGATTCGTAGTATAACGCTACACGAACCATCGTCTTCCACTTTTTACCAAACTTGAGTGCCATAATAGGAAATGCGAAGAAGAAAAATATATTGAGGCAACAAAAAGTCTCATATTTCTCATTGTAATTACATATAGTACGTCATTAAGTTTAAATTCCATCATTATTGTTACACTGTACATAGTAGTGCATACGCAACACATAAATATATATATATATGTGTGTGTGTGTGTGTGTGTGTTTGTATGTTACGTATTGTATGTAAAACACAATTTTTTTTAATTTTATGACAAATTAAGATGGATTTTTGTAGATAATATTAAACGAGTGTGTGTGTTATCTATATAAAACACATCTTCGACAAATAATATATTCATTGATTTGTAATAAAATATTTTAACAATTTCATACATTATTTTTATTTCCTAACAAAATTTCAGTACACTATGGAATGTCTTCAAATATGGAATTATGCACTTTTGAGTTTATTTTACATATTTGTAGTTTATGTATATAAAGAAACAATTTTATTAATTTATATATAATTATTGTATATATTACATATATTGTATATATTACAATTAAGATTGTTGTGACTGTGCAATACCAACTAAAAATATCAACTAAAAAGGTATCAACCAAAAAATTTTATCATAATGTCCTGAAATCAATTAATAAAAAATAAATTATTTGGTTTTTAATGGTTTATGCAGCGCATTTACCATATTCTGCAGCAATTTTAGGTAAATAACACAAATAGATCCAAATAAATTTTTGCACGAATATTTATTAGAATTTTATTAATATATATAAAATTTTGATGATACTATTTCATCATAAAATTTGCAAATAAGTACTACAAAACGTGATGACATAAAAATCAAGAAAAACAAAAAATTAAATAATTTTTAAATCAATAAAAGAATTATACTTGAATTTTATACATATATTCAGGCGTAATAATAGAACAATCTATGAAATTTTTATGTTTTTGATAATACTTTCAATTGTGATGCATCCTTAATTTCATTTTTTAAATTATTGTTTTCAATCCAATTTTGCAAAGTAGTTGCAGACGGTAATGGAATTTTCTTGACATTTCTTAAGTATTTGTAAGCTTTAGGACTTAATGATCTTAGATATATTGCAGATTTTATATCTTCGGATGACCATCGTATGCGACTATTAGTTGATGACATTAACTTTGCAATTTGGCTCGGTGTAAATACTTTCCTTAAAACTTCAATGAGTATTGCGTTGATTTGCTTCTTCCTGTCCATTGTCATTTTGATTATTTCTGTTTGTAACTGTGTTATTCCTGAATGTAACTTTTTTACTTCCATATTCAATTGTTTATTTTGCTGTTCCAATATTTCTTTTTCTTTCAACACTTTTACCTTTTCTTCTTGTAATTTTTGGACTTGCATTAACGTTTTCATTGATCCATTTTTTATTGAAATATCATGATTATTAACTTCTCCAAGTCTGTAAAAGAAACGCTTTGATTCACAAAAAAAAAATATATATATATAACAATAGTAGAAGCTTAAATTAATGATATGTTGTGGACAAACATTTACTACATACATCTCTACATTTGTTGTGTTATTTACTAAATCCTTATGTTGCACAGTTTTTTCTATAATATAATTAACTTTTTTAATATTATTTACAATATTAACATTTTGTACATTTTTTGCAGTTTCTGCTTTCACATATTGCACAATTTCTTTATGCGACTGCAAACGATTCTTCTCTTGTATACATCCAATAAGTTCTGTGTATGTTGGTACTCCAGTCCTTATTCTTAAAAATATGAAGAGATGTTTTATTTCCACATAAGCATGAAAATTGCAATATATTTACAAATATAGAAAATACTTACGGTACATTTCTTTCTTTATTCCTCTTCATATTTTTTTTACTCTCTGGCATTCTCTTCTTCTTTTCTAATATTAACATTTTTGTTGGGATAGAATCTTTTTTTAATCGTTGCATTTCTCTGGATGGTACATTTTTCAATCTTGGTTTTGTCCACACCATTATGAAGCAATCAGTATCAAAATGATTACTACATATTGCTACAATTACATTATAATATATTTTAATATATATAGTTAATATATGTATACATTCATAAGATATTCTACTCAACAAAAAATTAAAAAAAAAAAACAAAATTGATGCTCAAGGTTTTACTCTAATATCCTCTTATGGTAAATTAAAAAATTCTTTATATCCCCAGCATATATATATGTAAACTAAAAGAATGTATTAAATAATTAAATTATATCAACTTTACTCGTATCAACTTTCATGTTTAATTCCGTTCTTTGACTGGCTTCGAGCCATTGCTGACGAATAGTGGCTTTTTTTTTTAAAATTTCACATTTTTTGTCTTGTATTGTGACGTACGACTAGGGCAATGTTTTATACAACATACTGGCATAGTTTCTGCAATAGACAATGTATAGACATTTATACTTAAGGGGTACTGTCGAGTGACGAAATTATTGACACATTATAGATCGATTGAAATCTCCGAATTAACTGAACAGAATCAAAAACTGTCAAAAACTCTTTTACAGGATTGAAATAGATGCAAAATTAGGGCTATTAGGGGTTGCGTAAATATGGACAGATGGACTTGCAGCCAATCAACAGGCTTGAAATAACTGCGAACTGGCGCAGACTTGAAATGAAATGGCAATCCTTAGGTCTGTTCGCGTTGCTTGCACTTTTGGCACTCGGCATCTTCGCTTTCTCTCTTTTCAAATATATATCTATCTCATTTTAAGTGGAAAATATTTGGGGATTTCATGCAACGCGAACAGACCTCTTGATTCCTTGGCGCAGACGCGCAGACTGTGGATGTTACTAGTTCCCTGTCGTGCTTTTTTTAACCTTTTTTTAAATAAACGGAACGTAAATAAACAGAAAAAGGGTAATTGTATAAAGCTTGACAAAATAAAATGCCGTACGCTAATCAACCATCGGTCCATATTTCGGACTTAACCGAAGAAAATGTGAAATTTCAAGTGGAAGATACCGAATTAAGGTAAGACAGGTTAGATTATGTAGAAGAATCAAAACGTGTATGTAATTGCAATTTAATTTATAATTAATATTTCTTTATCAGCGTTGCGAACAGCATGAGGCGTGTCTTTATCGCCGAAACTCCGACTATGGCTATTGATTGGATACAACTGGAAGCCAATTCTACTGTTTTGAGTGACGAGTTCTTGGCACATAGGATTGGAATGATACCATTGATCAGTGATGATGTATGTGTATATAAAAAATGAATACATTTTTCTCAACAAAAATATGAAAATGCAGATTACGTTTTAACGATTAAATTTAATCATTAAACTATGTTTGAATGGATGTAATATTATATGGAGAGAAAACTTTTCTTGTTTATAGGTAGTCGATAGAATACAATATACAAGAGACTGCCAGTGCATGGATTTCTGTCCAGAATGTAGCGTGGAATTCACTCTTGATGTTAAGTGTACTGAAGAACAAACTAGGCATGTTACTACTGCAGATTTCAAGTCAAGTGATCCTAGAGTGCTACCTGTCACATCCAGGCACAGAGAAGACGATGCAAGCGAATATGGAGAAACAGATGGTATGTATTCTCTTTTTTACGACACTTATGGTTATCATAAAAAAAGGGAATCACAATGATCGTATTTGGGATCTTCCAGAAATTTTGATAGTAAAATTAAGAAAAGGACAGGAATTAAAACTTAGAGCATATGCAAAGAAAGGTTTCGGAAAGGAGCATGCAAAGTGGAATCCGACTGCTGGTGTAAGTTTTGAGTATGATCCTGATAATACTATGAGACATACTTTGTTTCCTAGAGCAGACGAGTGGCCTAAATCAGAGTATACTGAATTAGAGGAGGATCAATGTGAGTATATTTCTAATAAGAATCCAAAATTTTGTTTAGTTGTATTTTAAGCCCCTATTCTATAACTCTTAACGACAGCTTTATTCAATTATCTTTTTTCTGTTTATGGAAAAGGGATTATTTATACTAAATCTTGTAACTATGATACACACCAATACACAAGAATGCAGTAGTGAACTACTAAGATAGTGACATCTGCAGTTAAAATTATTCAATGTAGAAGGGAGAGAATAGTATATAAATTAATAAATTTATGTACACTACATATGTGTATTAAATAAATGTGTTAGAGATTTTACATTATTGTTGCGTAGATTTTATAAAAAAAAGTTTTGCAACAACAATATAACGATACTGTTACTGTCGTTAAAAGTTACAGAAAAGGGGGCTTATTGTAATATATACATTTTAGATGAAGCCTCATTTAATTGGGAAGCCAAACCGAACAAGTATTACTTCAATGTGGAGAGCAGCGGGGCCTTGAAACCCGAAAACATCGTCATGATGGGGATTGCAGCGTTAAAAAATAAATTGTCGAATCTGCAGACACAATTAAGTCACGAAGTGCAAAGCGACGCGTTGAGCATCCATCATTAGAAATAGATTTTAACTTGATATTTACATATGAAATTGTATATCTTATTTCATATTTTATAAAATAAAAAATGAATCTATAACTATATATATATATTATAAATGATTTGCTATACCAATTTTACAAAAGTCGAAAGAAATATAATATAAGGATAATTCTATGGATTCCTATCAACATATTTTTGTACACTGAAGAGGACCCAATACTAGGGTTGAACATCTGTATTTAATTTTTTAATATATGTATCATTACATACGTATATAACTAGTGTTTTAATTTTTTAATGTATGTATCATTACACACGTATAAATGTGTTGGCTTACATTAGCATTTCCTTACTATTATATTTATTGGAGTTTATTTAGGAAGCTTTATATTCCCATACAGCACAGAACTTGCAGCAATAACGCAGCAATATTGCTGCAACATACAACATTGTTGCTGCAATTTTTGTGTAGGGGTTGTAACTTAAATTTTATATTGATAATATAGAGAATATTTTATATCCATTTCCATCAACGTAAATTAACTTTGATCTGGCTTTAATTTATTCTTCAGCTTTGTTAGAACATCAAATTTGTTAGAAAAAAAGATGATTCTCTTCCCCCCCCCCCTCTCTTACTCTCTAGAATTAGAAGAAATTTTCAAATTTTTAATTCTTAGGAATTAGAAAAAGATGAAGAGTAAATTAAATCGAGATTAAAGTCAATTTACATTGGAAATAGACATTAGGAAATCGCTGTCAAGAATTTTAAAAAATTTGAGTCTTGTAAGCTAATCAGAGGGCGTTACGAATCACAAACGCTGAAACGAACAAGAGTACATCGATATTGATACAGCCAGTGTTTTGCAGTGCTTTAAAATGCTGTCAAAATGCTGTCAAATTACAATTGTTTCATGTGATGTGTTTTATTAATAAAGACAAATCGTATGTGTTGATGTAGAACATATTTATATTATATTGGGCGTTTTATTCAATTGATTTAGTGACTGTTAAGCGCACACCGTCTAACATAGTCGAGATTGAGCCGATCGAGCGCGAAACATCGGTTTTCATTAAAATGGCTGTCAAAGAGAGACAAAACGAAACCTCGTTCGACGAGATTGAATGGAACGTGGAAAACGAAATTCAACTTTTTTTCGCCATGAACGGACACAAGCCAGTTGGTAAGACGACGAAAGCCAGTGATGAGAGGTTATGTTTACCCTTGTTTTCTACATTCATTTCTTCCAACGTAATTAATTTTAATCTCGATTTAATTTATTCTCTATTTTTTCTAATTCGTAGACCTAGGAAAAGATAAAAAGTAAGTTAAATCGAGATTAAAATAAATCTACATTGGTAGAAATAGACAATGAGTGATTTCAACCAAACTCCGCTTGATTGGCAATTAAATAATTAAAACAAAATCTCTGTGTATAATGCATGGCTTTCTATCGAAATTGTAACATCTGTAATATAATTTGTATATATAAGTATATACATATTTTAAACAAAAAAGTTCTATGTTAATAGAGAATACTACAGGTATTGCTTGACAAGTTGATCACCGATTAAATTAATGAGAGTTTGATCAAAGTTTATTATTAATAAACAATTATGCTTTGCAATTGTGATTTTTAAGAATTGTTCAATTGTCAGGTATCAATAAATATTTCCACATGGTGTGTATATGGGAAAAATTTCGTGCTGCTATTCATAAAGATGTTCCATTAAAAATAATTTGGGATCACTTGGAATCCATGTACGACCTTGTGTCTTTGGTAAGTGACAACGTATATAATAAAATCTGTATCCTAAAATGAAGTTACATCTAGAATCGTGTTGTAATAAACACAAGTTTCTATAAAATTATTTTGAACATTATGTAATATATTAATACAATACATCTTATGCATATATGTATATAGTGTCCCATAAAAACCAGAAAAATGCTTAAGGGGAGATAATTCCTGAGATAATTTTGAGATGGAAATTCTAATATCAAAATGTTAAGAGAAAATTTTTTTTAACATAAATATCAATAATTAGAAATATCAATAATTATATCTTTGCATACTTACATAATTTTTATACCGATGCGAGTATCAATATTTACAAGAGGCAATTATATAATTATCTTTCTCTTTTAGCATTTTACATTGTTCATACTTGAATGTGCAAATTAGTGGTATAATTTGCTAACTTTAAATTCTTATAATTTATAATTCAAAAAACTATTATAGCCTTGACAATTAGAACTTTCATTTTAATCTTAGGAATCTCCCCTTAAGTGTTCTGGTCTTTATGGAACACCTTGTATATTTATTTATATACAAATTGAAATTTTTTATAGGACGATATGGAAGGTTTACCTTTTCCTGGTCACGAGATAGATTTTTCCTTACCGGAGACTGAATTTATAGGAAAGCCGCGGAAGAAGGAAGAATTAGAGATAAAATTGAAAGATCAGAGGGATAAATACAAAGAAATTAAAAAAGAAAAAGACATTAAAGAGAGTTTTAAGAAAGATAGTATGTTACGTGATTTTAAAGGAATCAAAGATGTGGAAAAGAAAAAAGAAGAGATGAAAAAAAATGTGAAGGAGATAGAAATGAAAAAGGATAAATTTAAGGATATGAAAGAGACAAGGAAAGAATATAAATCATCAAAAGGACGTTCAAAAGGGAAAGAACAGAAGAGAGTGGTATTTTATATTTGGTTTTGATTATTTAATACTTTTCTCCAACAGGGTTGCACACACAAATTGTATTTTCGTTTCTTTTAAGCATCAAACGGAAAGAAGGAGCGTAAAGAATCCGAATCTAGTCGCGAGCTCGCGAAAAGGATTCCAAAGAGACCAACTAGACAAAGTGTGGATAGTTCTTCCAAAGCTTCTTCCAGTCCGCGCGATACACCTCCGCCAAAACGAAGACGAATATAACAGTTATTATAAATTAAAAAGATATTGTTGCATGTCTAAAAACTTTAGTTATATAATTCATCACTATACAAGGATAATATTATATTTGTCTATTTTTATAGCCAATTAACACGCTTGAAAAATTTCCTACCAAAAATAGACAATTATAATTTTAATCTATACTGTTTTTAACAATATAAATGTATATATAGAAAATAAGTCGATTTTATAAAAAAAAATTTGTATCGTGCTGTAAATAAAATGCTACAAGTAAATAAATATATCATTATATCTTTTTAAATAGCTTTACTTTTTAAGTGTCATATACTCGACACTAGTTAGATTTATGCTTTTAAGATTTATTTTCGACATGTATATATATACATCTATTAAAAATGTGTAATTTTTATATTCAGAACTGATTAAAGAACTATTTGAATTTCAGAATAATTTCACAGTTAAAAGATATATAATACCATTCTAACACTAAGGAAAAGCAAACAAAAGATGAATACAAAAATGAATAGCAAAAATATATTATTATATTAATAATCTTTGTATTACAAATGAAAAGTGCTCAGTTCATAATTCATCGCTCGAGTTACAAGCTGGATGAGGGAGGAGCATAATGACAACACCGTGAAACTTGTGGTTACCAGCCGAGATTTATTGTAAAAGGTGTGGAATTCTTATGCGTCAGGAATGTTTTCAAGAAAATGCGATCCTGTTCCGCGATCGGCAGCATCCTCTCGAGAAGCACGTGGCAGGAGTATTCGTTGTTTACGATCCTTAATCCATAATCCATGTGCGGGAGGGATCCACGTTCAGGGAATGCGTATCTGCTGAAGTCCGGTGGTAGTAGTAGTAGTAGTAGTATAGTAGTAGCTGGCGACCGTTTTTTTTTCGGCATTAATAAAATCTCACGTTATCGAAGCCTTCTCGCCTCGCGCTCGGACTCGAGCAAGGTTAGGAGATCGCCCTCTCGTACCGGTCCCTTCACGTTCCTGATGATCTGCCGATTCTGCTCGCCCAGGAATTCTACTTTCACCTGGGTGCACTGCCCCTGCGAGCCAGTACGACCCAGAACCTTGATAACACGCGCCAAAACGACTGGTTTGTCCATGATCGCCTCTTTCTCACGTGGACTGTGACTCAAAAGAGATATCTGACGCAAATGGAAGAAGCACGCGTAGACGAATCTGACGAACCGCTTTTCTCCGGTCGATTTCCGGATTTCCGGTGAGTCGCCACTGTCCAAATACATGAATTTCGAACGGAAACGGAATCACGTATAAAGTCATTTTCATTCGTAAAAATGGCTGCGTTCAGCAGACTCAATAGTTTTGCAACCGTTTTATGATTCGTCACGCTGATTGAATTATACTTTTAGATTTAAAGGAATAGTCCTATCTCAGCGCAGAATCATAAAACGATTGCAAAACTGTTGAGTCTGCTGAACGCAACCAATGAATATTGTTGAACGAAACAAAAAAGATTAAATATTAAGAATGAAATATTGGAAAATATTTGTTATATATTACTGTAAGAAATTTATTGAATTTACCATGATTTTGTTGTCACATTTATTCGAGTGGAAAAAAAATGACGGTCTCTTTGTAAGTAAATAACAATCAAAATTATAGTGATTTATTCGCAATTTTTAATTAATTTTCTTTTTTATTAAAATTGTCAACGTCTCGTTGAATTTCTTATCGTTAAAATAAGATGTAAAATATTGTCAATATTAAATCAGTATTTCGAAATTTATTGATTTAAATTTTAAATGTACTTATATATACATCTGTATCTTAATATTTTTATTAAAATTTTTTAATTTTTGTTAACTGCGTTAGAATTAACTGCTTGATGAGACAGCTAACGCTGTTATATCTTTCGTGTGTGTTAAATTTCATTATAAATTATATACATAGTTAAATATCTAGAAATGTAGATCTAAAGAAATACCTAGATAACGCATTTCACTTTTATTAGAACTGTTCTCACAAAGGAGGTGAATAGCATATAAGTCAAATAGTACTGAGTGCAACGAATTGGCGCACAGAAATTACCTATCTTGTGTATATAATAAACAGAATATATTTAAAACTGAATATATTCACAAACTAATTTACCTGTTTTTTTTTTTTCAAAGACGTTAATTTTTTTAATTTACCAATTTTTTTGTTATCGTGATAAATCGTATTAGCAAGAAATTGAGAATTATTGAGGATACCAGTAACTTATCGGATTTAATGTTTTTTTAAATGCGTCCGTTATGTCACAAGTTTTATTCATCTCGCTTAACAGTTTCACGAATGATAAATAATAGAGTAATCAAATTACAATAAAATGTTATATTTTGACACAAGTACACTATTTCATAATTACTTATAATAATAATTCATATAAATAACAGCTTGATACTGTAGGCAACAATTAAGATGAGCTTCCTTAAGTCCCTCTTGGTATAGCTTTCACTGATTATCAGGAATCACTTAGAGAGTGATTTATTTGTTCAATTATATTAACGCAAATACTTGCCAAAAATACTGCGTTTCGCTATACAGTGTGTCGCGCTTTTTTCTCGACTACAGGTTCCTTAAAAATTAAATTTGGGCTTTTTAGTATTGACAATCAAATCTCATATTAAAAGTAATGTAAAGTCAGAAGAATAAGATTATTATTTTATTCACATTCCTGAATTTATAACTCATTACGAATTACTATAATCCTAGATTATAGAACCTGTAAGTAAGAAAAAATGCTCAAATGCTTAAACAGTCTGTATAATCATCATTATCGGTACTTTGAAAGACAGGTTGTGATTATACATCTAAGTATAGTAGTGCCTCCCATGTATTAAATCATATGAACAATGTATTAATAAAAAATGTTACTCGCAAAATATTTCATAATAGTATACAGAAAAGCATAATTAATAATTTATTACATAAATTATATTATCAAATTATTTGTGATTGCAATGATCTCCTAAAAATTTTCTTTTCAAAAGAACATTTTATATATTACTTTTATGCATCATTATTCAATTTAACTTAATTAAAACGTGATTTATCCAATCAAAATGCTCCAAAATTTTTAGCACCAATATATGATTTATGGATTTTTCTCATATTTCGTAGATATTCATAATAAATAAATTGCTGAACTATTTAAATCTCATTGTCGCAACAGTAATATATTCTATAACTTACGCAAATGTAAAAAATGCGTTATATCTCGCATTCATATTATTTTGTATTTATTACAATACAGAATAAATGTAGACACATATTGCACGTGTCGAATATAATACCTTAAAAATAAATTGAAGATCCAAGTCTTTTCACGTCTCTAACGAAACTTGTACATATGCAATGTACATCTTTGAATCAGCGTTCGAAATCGATATAGCTTGAGTGAATTCCATTTTTTATATCGTTTCATACGAGAAAATATGCTTTATGTTAGATTGACAACTGAAGTATTTTTATTTTATCAAATAAACTCACAAAAACATATAGCAATTCTAGCAATCAAATCCAAGCTAATAAAAATTATACAGTTTTCCATTGATTCGAATGAATACTTTGTTATGTTGAAAATGGACCCTGACATATATATTTCAATTGCAATTACAAAAAGCTTTCATTGTAGCAACATAATTTGCACCATGAGGTACATATTTAGTGTCACACAAATAACTTCTTACATTTTTTTTTATTCAAAGACTTATCTTATTTTTATTCCAGTTTCTTTTTTCTCAACAGTAATATTGAAAGCTGGTGAAGGCTTTCAAACAAAAATATGTATCTACTTGAAGCTCTATGAACATTGACGAATTATGTGTTGAGACAACAATCGAGTATAATTGTTCTTTTTTCATTTTAGTGTCTCCGTCGTCAGTTCTATTACTTTCCGAAGCAATGTCCAATCAATGGACGTGGAAATGTGTTATTACATTGGATAATAAACTGTCGACATTAGTACAACACTGAATGAGATAATCAACAGGCTAACAATATCCGCAATAATTTTACTGCCATAAGTTTGTGGAAAGGGTCTGCCCAGGTAGCGCAGCAGCGGCAGGTTTGCCTGTAGAGGCAAAGTTCATATCGCCCAAAGACATCTGCGACATTTGTTGTGGCAACTGTAACATCATGAATTATGTTAAAAATAAGATTGATTTGACTTAATGTAAATAACGTTACAAAGTATTACAAAGTTTTGATAAAAACTTTTTATTTTATCAAAAGAATTTTGAGAAAATAGGGCAATAGGAGTTAGACACGGTAGTCGTTGCGCAAATAATATCCCGATATAACACAAACTTCTTTATTAAAAAACGCGTTTACATGTTTCGGCTCATGAGCCCTCTTCAGAGACAAATCACCCTAATAGTAAGAAATCCTTGTAGATTGATTTATGATTTTTATTTTATATTCATATCTCTTGTAGAAATTATATATGATCATAAATTACATAAAGCACTTAAAATTTACATACCTGAGCGGTAAATGCAGTAGTTTGTTGTTGCTGTGCTGTTAAATTAAAGAAGGGATTGCTGCCGGGAGCTGGTTGAATATTCTGTGTCAGCATTCCACTCCATCCATTATTACTAGCAATATTACTTTGTCCTAATTGCATCATCTATGAAATTGGAGAAAAAAACTCTAAGTGTAAAAAATAACTGCGTGAATAATTACGAACATATTTAGCAATATCATGCAAGAAATATTACATACCATTTGAGGTGGCATTGAGATAGCAGCATTAGGTACACCATTTAATTGATTCATTTGTCCTATATGTAAACCTAAAGGATTGGCTGCTACAGCACCTATCGTATTAGGATTCGCTATAATTTGATTTTGATTGACAGGTATCTGATTCGCGACCGGTATTTGCGTGGAAAGTTGGCCGAGTTGACCTAACGAGCTTTGTTGCCCAAATATACCCACATTAGGCATTTGCTGTTTATATGGTATAGAGTGTTGAGGATACACTCCCCCTGAAATATATCGCATGTTAAAAAACATAATTTAATTATAAAATTTCATTAATATTGGATATATCATTTTTATCTTATAATACAATACCTGAAACACCATAAATAGCTGGTTGATGACTCGGAGTACCATATAATGCTAAAATACTGTCTTTTGTCATCTTGCTTTTTTCCTGAGGTAGCAGGGTCGGTTGGTTAAAGAAGCTCTCCTCTTCGCTTTTACTTGCAATAGTAGTTGTTTTACTTCCATTAGAATCATTTCCAGTTGAAGCTACTGAAGCAGGCGGTGCAGACAGAAAGGAAGAAAATACATCGTCCCCAGAACCATTTACATTTGTTTGGTTAGTTGTTGGCGCATCTGTTAATAACGACGTGAAGTGTATCATATGTTAGAAAGCTTATAATTCTATAAATTATTCAGAGTATATCATAATTCACACACAAGGAATGTACAATACAGTTTTTTGTACAAAAAGCAACTTCTTCCTATCTTACAATTGTATTTTGCTACAAGAAAAAGTTGCTTCTTGATAGAGAATTGCACTATGAATTTCTGTATGTATCTGGGACATCCTGTACACACAACATACCAAGACCTAAGAGATCAAGGATTGCAGAATCTTTTGTTCTGCCCAGTTTAGGACTGACGGAACTTCGAGGTTTTGGCAATTGAGGCACTACTTCCGGTTTTTTTACAGGGGGGAGTACAGTAGTCGTAGCTTCCGAATTTTCCTTTTTTCGTCTGCGTTGTCTTTCGGCTTCTTCATCAAGTTCTTTGTCCCAATTTACCTATGAAAATTATTTATTAGTTAAAGCAATAAATATAACGTCTGTAATCTTTTCTGCAACCATATATAAAATTCAATGTGCGTGTGTGTGTGTGTGTGTGTGTGTGTGTGTGTGTGTGTGTGTGTGTGTATGCGTGATTTCGTCCTAAAATTACAGAACGCCCTTCTCATGCATTTATGAGAAAAATGCACATAAAAAATTTTCAAACATATTTTTCTCATGAATACTCAGCCAAATTGGAACGGGCTATGTCTAGTGTTAGAAGGAACCAAATGTGGCTTCCCTTTACTTAGATAAATTTTATAAGAGAAAAGCGCGTTAAAAAATTGTACATTATCACTACATAAATTTGACATTAAACTTGATAAATTTATTGAACTATTATACATATAAAATTCAGCAAAATTGGAAGGGGCTATGTCTGGTGTTATAAAACAAATATTAAATAAGGATAATCACATACTTTTGGTAAAGGAGGTGGCACCCATTCTCTAGCTATATATTTCTTATGTTCATATTTTGCCCGAATAAAACTTTCCAGGCTACAGTCTGTTTGAGGTCTTCGGAAACTATCTGGAAGGTTGGCTTCATAGACTGCTCTAGCTCGAGAATTACCCATTTGTTGTAAACTCTAGAAATTTAATTAACAGGATTTAATTAACAGGATTATATTTATTATATAATTTGATACAAATTTTTAATATTTAAAATATTATTTTAATTATAAAAAGTCTCATACAATAACAAAGTCATAAAAATATTTTAGCTTTAAAATATAAAATTTTTCTTTTATTTGTAAAATAAATATTTAAGGAAAAATGTTTAAAAAATATATGTAAAGCTTAAAGAAAATATTCAAATATGAAGCTTAAAAGAAAAATAATCTTGAATGTGTGATATAAAAAAAAATGATAAAAATAAAATAGTGAAATTTTTCCATAGAAAAGCAAATATTAAAAATTATTTATATCCATTTCTTTATAAAATTTTAATTATATTTCAGAATTGAGGAATTTGTGAATACATTTTTTATTGTGTTTTGATATAAAAGTTTAACAAATAAACAAAATCATCCTTTGTTAAAAAACTATGAATTATATGTCTGCTACACATACCACAACTTGTTCCGGTGTCCATGTATCTAAATTAACAGACTTGACTTTGCTTATATGTACTCCAAGATTTCTATGAATACCAGCACATCGAATACACAAGAAAATTCCCAAATTCCAGCTAGCCCATCTTGGTCCTGCAAACAAATTCATTGAAAATATCATAAATAATTATTATTTCTCGAGCATAGCGACTCCACTTAGACTTGACGCAAATACAATGATAAAAACTTATCAATAAAAACGCTTCATCAAGCTATCTAATATTCATGATTATTAATTATAAGTTCTCAACATTCGATGACATATCAAGTCATGTAACAGAGGCATTTTTTTTCATGAATCCTTAAAAGAAGAAAGACACAAAGGATCTCGCGCTTTGATTTTCGAGGTGATAAGTGAAATGAACATGAAATTTGGAAGAATCTTGACGATGTTATCGAATGACAGCGCGCTGATAGGTATGTCATGCAGAAGTTAAAAATCCATAACACACATCTCAGCGCATTATACAGAACACGACGCGTTGCATGGGTCGTTTCGTGATCGATATCGACGAGTCGAATCCAAGAACGAGCGCACTTGGACGGCACAAAGCAAAGAACGCACACGGAGGATTCATCGAGGACGACTTTCCGAAGGGGAAGAAGATGAACGGCGCATTCATATCGCGGCCGAGAAACAAACCTTTCGCGTCGCAGTCGACGCAATACTTGTTATCCTCGTCGCGAAGCATCTGCGTCAGCAGATTCTGACATTTCTCCTGGATCTGCTTGGCACGCTCCTTTTCGTGACGGGACGTCATTCTCGCTGATCACTGCTGACAGCGTCTTCGCGAAGGGATCGGGGACCACGCGCGACCGCGACACCCCGGTGTCGCCTCCCCGCGATAACCGATAACGTTAACGCTGAACAGGAGCGCGAGACAACGGTACCACGTAGTGGATTTGAGTGGATTCCGCACCGCGTTGATCCCATTGGCCCCTGTGACAGTGCCGTGCGATTACCGTGGAATCATTGTGGCTGTAGGTAAATTTTGTCGTTATCCAACGAGGAAACTTATCTCATGTTACCGACCGATTCTCCTACCTGCAATTACCATTGGCTGCGTTCAGCAGACTCAACAGTTTTGCAACCGTTTTATGATTGTCTGCTGAGATAGGACCATTCTTCAAGATCTAAAAGTATGATCCAATTAGCGCGAAGGAAACTTCCAACAGTTGCAAAACAACCGTTCTGCTGAACGCAGCCATTATTTAGGCTCAGTTCCACAATTCACTGTTAAGCCCAGTGTCCACGATGCTAGAAATCCGTCCGAGATCTCGGATGAAGAAAGAATTGACCAATCGCATTGATCACGTGACTAAATTGTCTAAATGTGATTGGTTAATTCTTTCTCTCTCCGAGATCTCGGACCAATTTCTAGCATCGTGGACACAAGGCTTAACAATAGGTTTTTAAGCCTCATGGCGCGTTCACACCTTGACGGAAAAGTAGAAAGCGGAAAAGCAATGGCCAATGGCTACGTTTACACCGTGCATTTAGGCCGCGGCCTATACAATAGGTGTCCTTGTTTAATATACAGGATAAACAAGGACGTCTATTGTATAGCCGCGGCCTAAATGCACAGTGTAAACGTAGCCTTAATCTGTTCCACCAGCCCAGGTAGCTGATGCAATTATTATATACGAGACACCCTATATCTTGACACGACCTTATAACATACACAACATATTTATAATAACAGTTATAGATGTATAAAGATATTGATGTACTAAATAAGGATCTTTCTAGAACATCAAAGTCATATATATTAACGGCTAATAATATATTATAATGGTACTCGTCTCTCGTATCGATAACTATAATAATTAAACTGTAATTCTTACGAATCAATTGTGTTTCAATCTGTACGCGGATATACAAAGTAAGTTAAAAATAACAATAATTAAATAGTTTATTTCTTTGTTAAAGATACATATACATATAAATGATTCTATTAATAAAAATTGGTAAAATTATTTTTCCTACTCTTTCTATTTTTATGTTTAAAATTAATATTATATTATAACAATTTTGGACGGAATTTTATTATAATTATTTGTTTCCTTTTTAATTAAAAATCGCAGGTACGTAAAACAAGTATCGTCATGAGATTCCTAAGGTTGTTATTAATAATAAGTTTCGGTATAATACTGACCATAAACACGGTCATTTGTTCCAATGATAATTTGAAAATTATTCGTTTACCGAACAACACGATACCATTTTATTATAAGATTAATTTGATAATACCGTATCTCGAGGAAATCGACCCTGTCTTTTATGGTGAATCTATCATCGAAATCCTAATTTATTATGCAACGAAAAACATAAGCTTACATTCAAGAGGATTAGAAATAAAAGAAATGGAGACAACATTGTTTGAACACAAGTCTTATACATTTTTTAAACCAATAAAACATTCTTATGACAATGTAACGAATATTTTAATACTTCATTTCGAGAATACATTATGGCCTGGCGCTCACACACTTAACATGAAATTTTCTGGTATTATATTTGAGACTAATCTTGTAAGAGGTTTTATGAAATTTCCGTACACAAATGAAGAAGATAAAAAAAACGGCACGTAAGTTAATATTAAAATATGAAAAATATATTTTACAATGTAAATCTGACATGAGCAGAAAATTTGCCGTCATTTAAGATATTTTATTAACCCTAGCTATACATTTTTTTTACCCTTGATATACACATTCGGGTCTCTGGGACCTTATTCGTATTTGTTACCGTAATTTCCGTAAAAATGGACATATTTTAATTAATTTTTTTTTTAATCGATGGAGAATTAATTAAGGAATGAATAAGTCCATGATGTATAAAAGTCGATAGAATTAAGGAACTTCGAAATATATATATAGGTTCAAAAAAAAGTTCAGAAACATAAAAATATCTCGATTTAGCAAATTGCACTGGGGTTTCTGAGGCCCCATTGTGTATAACTAGAGTTAAATTGTAGAATGGCTGCAACATATTTCGAACTGAATGGAGCCAGGGAAGTGTTTCCGTGTTGGGACGAGCCAGAGTTGAAAGCCATCTTCGACATCCATGTAATGCATCATCAGAAATACTTGGTATTGTCAAATGGGAAAATGAAAGAGCAAGTGATGGGAAAAGATGACATGATACAAACACGTTTTGCCTCCACTCCTCAAATGTCCACTTATCTTGTGGCGATTGTTGTAATCCCTAAATGTGATTTTTATCATCGTTCTAACTATAATCAGACTATCAATGTATGGTACAGTTCATCTTTGTTATCGAAAGTAACATTCATTTACAATATTGCTGAAAAAGTCATACCTTTTATGACTCAGTATACCAACAGATCCCAGGAGGTACAGAAAATAGATCATGTTTTGATATCGAATTTTCCAGTTGTTGGTATGGAAAATTGGGGACTCATCACTTACAAGTAATATACATTTTAATTAAAAAGAAGTTATAATGAAACTATTAAAGTTAGCAAACGTTTTTATTAATATTCAAAATTTAGTAATTAAAAAAAACAGAATTATGAATAATGTAATTACTCAGGAATACGTTATAGACTACATATTTATGATAGGAGTATTTTACATAATTATATTATTCTATGTTTCAGTGAATTTGATGCTATCTATAATGATAATAAACATTCAATATATGAGAAAATAAAAGTAGCAAATATAGTAACATTTGAACTTGTACATCAATGGTTTAATTTGGTTACTCCAACTTGGTCTTACCTATGGTTAAAAGAGGGATTTGCTACTTTTTTAGAATTGTACATCATCGCCAAGGTTATTTAATATTTATAATGTATATACATATAATAAAAGATGGCTTATTGAAAAATAAAGAACTTGAAATATATTTTAAATTAAGAGAGAGAGAAAGAGAGAGAAAGATAATTTTAATTAAATAAAATTAATAAAATATTTTTATAAAATTTATATATCAAGAGAGAGAGAGAAAGAGAGAGAGAGAGATGTTACTGAATACATAATAGTAGCTCATTATTTAATTAGAATTCCATAAAAGTTGTAACTATAATATTTATAATAGTTATACAAATAAATAGATATAAAGATATTTTAATATAAATTCATATTGAAAGTTAATCCTAGCTATACATACTCAGGTCCCTGAGACCCCATCCATATTTGTTACTGTAACTTCTGTAAAAGTAAATATATTTCAATTAATTTTTTTTTTCAATAGAGAGAATTAATTAAGAAATAAATCTATAATGTACAAAAGTCAATTAAGAAGCTTCGAGATATATAGGTTCCAAGAAAAAGAAAAGTTCAGAAACACGAAAAAAATCTCGATTTAGCAAATTGCATTGGGATCTTTGGTACCCCAATGTACATTGTTAGGGTTAATATGTTCTGTTTTTTATATTTATTGTATTAAAGATTTCCTATTTTAATTTTTTATGTTTAAATATTATCTACATATATAGGAATAGTAAGAATAATGCAATTTCGTTAGAATTTTATTCTCTATTGCAATCAACATTTAATAAAATAATAAAATTCAACATTGTAGGTTTTTATATCTTGAATTTATTTTTATATTAAGTAACTTCCAACATTTTCAGAAATAATTAAACTAAATATGTTTGCCTTGATGACGATTTAACATGAAAATAATAATAAAATTTGTAGGTATTATGAAAAAACAAAATAACGAAGTTGAAGTGACGGCAAACGATTTTTTTTTAATTTCTAATGCAAGAGCTTTCTTTAAATTTTTAATATTGAGTCACATCAAAGCATTTTTTTCCTTTAGATTTTTGAAGATTGGCGAATTATGGATCTTTTTGTGATTTGGACCTTACAAACTTGTAGGATAGATGTTGGCTCATTGAACTCTGTCACATTGATACCGAACAGTACTTTTGACGATATGTCGCAATATTCTATGGAATTTTATGGAAAAGGTAAGATTGAGTAAATATGCACAATAAAATTATATTATTCATAGACGTCTCAACATATATGTAGCACAAAAAAGATAAAACAGAAGACTAAAGCAAATAAAATCTTCTTTTCGCACAATACATATTTATACGTATGTAAAGTATTATATGCTTACATTGGATCTCAATTTTATATTTTAAACTTTAATTTTGTACTTTAAACGTATCTACTTTAAATGTTAATTGATGTTTTATTGTACAATGTATTATTGTAGCTCCAGTTTTATTACGCATGTTACATCATATAGTTACTGATAAGGTATTCCAAAAGGGTCTCATCACGTATTTGGCCAACCAGTAAGTGTGTATAATAGTCTAACACATGTAATTACTATTTATTACATTATTAAATATCATAAGTATAATAATATTCCTTGTATTCATGTTGAGAAGTATTGTATTTCATCAGAAACATGAACTTAGGTAACCAATATCACATTACTATTCAATTTAGTTACTACAATGTATCATTTTTCAAAATTAGTCAATATAGTTCGACCACTCCGGATGATTTGTGGATCGCCATTCAAAGTGCTCTCGATGTATCTGATGTCCCTAACAGCCATTACAGAATAAAGGAAGTGATGGATACATGGATAAACCAAAACGGTTATCCTGAGGTGGATGTGCGGTGGATTTACAACGAAGATAATAACGCAATATCATTATCTCAAAAATGTATTTACAAACAAAAAAGTAATGAATGTTTTAATAATACATGTATTAATAATACGTGTACTAATAAATGGTGGATACCCATAACTTTCGCTACGAGGTCCAATCCGAATTTTTCCAGTACTGTACCCACCATATTCTTACGACCAGATGAAATTATTTCGTACTATATCCCTAATCCAGAAGATTGGATTATTGTCAATATACAACAAATTGGTAAGTATGCTTCAATGAATTTATTTTTTATATTTTGTTTTATTGTAACGAAGGTTTTACATCATTCTACTTTACACATATCTTTTAATAATTTATTTATAAAAGCTTAAAGGAGATTCATATAATTAAATTTTCTGAAACGTTGCCAAATGTTAATTAATGTAAAACTATCTTTAATCCATAATTTTTATACTTATTTGTAATATTTGCAAGTATTAAATTTATTTGTTGTATTGAGAAAACACAAGCTTTCAATATTTGAAGATACAGTCCTAGCCATATAAGTTCGAAAACACTTACGATTTTCTCACATTTTACGAAATGTTAAATATCTCGATAAAAGAAAATTATAGAGAAGTCTTCGACCACACATTTTGAAGGGCAAAAATAGAGCTTTAAATCCGCGTTTGAATTTTCTGTCTGCGACATGTTCTTAAATTACATGAAATTAAAAGTTGATATTTTTGACAATATCTTTGTCTTACTTTAAAAAGTTACAATTTGATGAAACATCATTTTCCAAAGTTTTGGCCGGGACTGTATATTTCAATAGATTTAATTTAAAAAAAAACTTTGTAATAAGTATAACGAATAATTTGACAGGATACTATCGTGTCACTTATGATATTTCTAATTGGAAAAAAATTTCATATTACTTAAATTTTGAGAATTACACGAATATACACTTTCTTAATCGTGCTCAAGTCATCAGCGATTTATTTGCCTCTGTGCTGAATGAACAAATAAATGGATCCGTCTTCGTTAGTCTTATAAAATATCTAAGTCGAGAGGAAGATATTGTGGTATGGCATTCAATGTTCCCAATTATACAACGATTGTGGAAATATTTTTTTCTGCCAGAGGCAGCACCTATCAAGGTAGATTAATAGATGTCGTAAAAGGGATAAACATATATGAATAGAATAGATTTTATTACACTTCAGCATTACATAGCCAAGAAGGGGACTTGGTTCACAATAAATTCTTACCTCATTCATCCTTCCATACTTCATACGCTCTTATTTAACTATTTTCTATTTAACTATTTACTATTTACTTTCTATCTTTATCTTTTATACCTTTATCTTTATTTTTATCATTGCCGCATTTACATCACATTACACTTATCTCAGTCAACCTTATCTTACTATGTTCTTGCACTACTTATTCTATTTTCTATAGCTTATAGTCTATTTCACAGCCGTATCTTTTCACAGCCTTTCACAGCCTTTCTTTTCCTACCCAGGACTTGGGATAAAGACATATGTATTTTGTAGTATTAAGCCTGACCTACAATGCCGTAAACGTATAGTTATAAATAGTCGTAGTTGTAGAATTCTTCAATCACAGTTGGATATTTTCCTGGTATTCAATTGTAATTGATCAGTTCTTACAACTATAGCTACGTTTACGCAATTGTAGATCGGGTTTTATCAATCTGATCATCCCTTTCTTCTCTTACAATTAGTAAAAATTACAGGTATATTCGATGATTTTCATGTAATGCGAATGTAAATTGGTAATGAGTAAAAAAAACTTCGTATTTTTAGATTTGAATGTCACTTAAAAATGCGAAGTTACGTTTTACTCAACCCAATGTTAATAAAGCAAAATGTATATTTTTACAATTACTACTAAATCAATATAAAACGAATACATAATTTGATGATTCTTAGACAACCATAACATCACTCCTTGGCAGTTTTCTTCAGAAAATAGGCTTCTCAGAAAGTTCTCATGATGACGATATGATAAAACTGGCAAGGCTAGATACCATAAAATGGGCATGTACTCTCGGTGACCAATATTGCAGGAATGAGGCAGTCATCAAATTAAACGAACATGTCATGAATCCTAATGTTTACAAGTAATTTTTTTTATGATCACGACTTTTTCGTAAATTGTTTCTGTTGCATAATATGCCCTCATGCACATGGATATATAGTTGATATTCTTTATTTCTTAAAATCGTCGATATCAAATATTTTCTTTATTGTTTCCCTTCAATCGCTATTCTTATTCAAATAAGGTAATTCACAGAATAGCAGCAGGAAAAGCACTTTGCAATTACTGTAAGGCATATTCTACAATAAGCCATTAGTAATAAATCAGAAGTCAAAAGCTAGAAATTGACAATCATATACTATGTTTATTGTACATGGCTCGATTTACAAAGTTATAACATCGATGTTATGAAGTTGGCAATCATAATTATTCCTCTGAAGAATGGAATGACTGTGATTGACCAGTTTCATAACATCGATGTTATTACTTCGACGTAAATCGAGCCGTGTACCTAGTCATAGTCGAATGTGAAAAGAATAATTGATTATGATTTCTAGCTTCTGACTTCTGATTTATTACTAATGACTTATTGTGGACTGTGTGTGAGATTCTTTAATATAATTGGATTATACATTTAGATCCGTAAGGAATTAAGATAAAAAATTAATTATATCAAAAGAATCTTTACCACGCAGGTACAAAAGTGCTTTTTTTGTTGAACGCCTAATGGATATTATATCGTTGAGTATAAGTGAAATATCCAATAAATTGACGAGCATCATAACCGATTTTCTTTTATTTATGTTTTCACTGTAACATAACCATGTACTGATGTGGCAAATATTATAAGATATAGAGTAGAAGAGTAACTCAGAACGGAAATTTAATTTTACGAAGTAGTAATTACTTAATTAATAAAAGAATATAAAAATACGAATCTCGATAAAAAGTCCGCTATATGTATGGAATGTATGTATCATTTCTTGATAGACATATACATATATTTTAGATTTCCAAGATGGAAGCAAAAATTTATGTACTGTGTTGGTTTGATGACAGCCAATAACACTACTTGGCATGAAACATTGAAATTATATCAACGTAAATATCTAAAAAGACAAAAATTTAAAAACAATTTAAAGGAATATCTAACGAGGGAACAATTTATAAAACTCTTGTTGAAAGGATTAAGTTGCACTGAAGATTCTAAAATCATTATTGACTTCTTACATATTATGACATTCAGGAAATTTTTTAACGAAAAGGAACATTATTTTGCCATCCTGTGTATTCTCGAGAATCATTCGCACAACAATTTGATCCTTAACTACATATTAAACCATTTTAAGACTATAAAACCTAGGTAATAACAGCTCGTGGTAAATATATACTGTCTTCTTAATTGTAAAATTTTCTTAATAAAAAAATGTGTTATTTTGTTTTATAGGTCAATGACTATAACTGCATTAGTAACAATTATTCTTTCAAATGTTTATTCTCATCAACAAATTTATATGGTAATTTTATGATTCTGGATTTATATATTTATTTATATTTGCATATTTATTTTGACTATCAAAATAATGTTGTAACTGTATAATATATAGCCCGATTTAAATGAAAATTGTTTGTCATGCGGAAGTATTATATAATTTAACGCAACTTTAGATAAGTCAATTAATATTAACAGATAATTATGTTTGTATTTTTAAATTAAGTATTTGCATTTTTGAGATAAATCATTTTCTAAAATCAGATAATGCTTGTGCATTAAACAATAAGTTAAATTTTTATAATTAACAAATTTAATATAGACCGATGATAATCGAAAAATGTTAAGAAAATTTTTAGAAAATCATCAAATTATAAATTAATTATTTAATTAATTCTTTCGAATATACATGTGTACATGTCCAAAAGATATGTATATATATAGTATAAAAGGCAATCTTTTATAGTATATATGATATATATGTATACTTCAGCAATTAACAATTAAGATAAATATATTATTTATGCTTAACATATGTGTATACATTTATTTGTTAAAGTTATGTTAAGTTAAAAACTATATTTTATCGAAAATTATGAAACATAAGAATAAACTATTAATTATTAAACTTCTCGAATTTAATCTATTTCAGGTAAATGAATTTGCTAAAAATAATATTCGAGATTTTAGAATTTGGAATAAAATTGAAGAAATGATACAAAAACATATAGATATGCTCAAGGCTAACATAGACACATTTCACAGGCAATTTAAACAATAGGGATCGGACTGATTCGATCATCCAAAAGAAGATATGTTGTTTAAATATATATATTTACTTACAGAACTTTCTAAAAATATTATTTTTATATATTATTACCATCTTGTGAATAATTTTTTATCTGTCTTTAATTGTTTCTAATATTTTCAATGTTTTTGTAATATTTTAATATTTTATTAATAGCATGCAAACTATTAATAAAATCTTTTATGACACATATTGAGATTCCATAATTTACAAATGATTTATGTAATACTATATAATATTAGACACTCTCTGATGTTATTTTGTAAAATATTTTTATAAATGTAGTAATTCTGAAATATATATTATACATTCAATACACAGAAAAATTTGAGAAACATCTTTCTTTAAACTATTAAATATATATATATAATTAAATCATTAAAATAACTTGATCAAGATCGAGTGAAATACACACACCCGCGCATTCAAAAACCTACAGTAGATTTTAATATCTCTACGAAAAGAATAGCTATGTTTTGTACTAAGCACAAATATAAATTTAGACAATAAAAAGAAAACAAATAACAATAAAATAAATGCAGACAAAGAGCAAAATTTTCTCTTAATAAGAAAAATATATTAATATGTATAATGCGCTACATTTTTATACAGTTTATAAAAAATTTATTTACCTATTTATAACATGAGTTTCTCTATCGTGCCACTTTTTAAAGTCTAAGATAAAAATGTAAGTTTTTACATAAAATGTAACACTAAAACTGTGAAACAAGAGAAAGAAAAAAAGTATTATATATTTATCATTATTAATTTTTAATCTTAATTTTTTTTCCACATTTCTAATGTGTTCTTCGACGAACGTCTCGCTCACGGCAATGTGCAATATACATATATGTATATCCAATATACATATGTATATCTATGCAGGCGACATCGCTGGCAACCGTGGACACGGTCGCCTCGGCAACTGCCATCAATTCCGTAAACAAAGACACGCATTGTCGTGCCGAGGGTCGCGTGAAAAAAATTTCCTCGACCGAGGGTCGCACGTTTGATACACGAAGATGTGAATGCACCGCGACGGCTCGCACTTGTCTCCGCGTCCGCCCGAAAGACTCTCTCACGTGCGAAGACTCTCCCTCGTTCCGGGACTACGTCTTCAACGACCTGAGGGTTCCGTCGACGGCGCCGCTGCTGCGACAATGTCGGGGAAAAAGGCTACGGAGAAGGTCTCCGAGATTGATGCACATATCAACAAACAATACGACATTGTGCGACGTCTCGGCAAAGGGGTAATAACGTTATCCTCCCCGTTTATTCTGGCGTATAGGATAATTTTGCGCACGACGTGGAAGCGAGTTAATTTCGAATACCTTTATCCCCCATGTGAAATAAAAATACGTGGATTGACAGACATGTAAAATATGCTCGTCTAAATTAATTGTAATTTTGTCAAAAGTCATACATTATTTTATTCAGGTATTACGTCGTGTTATTTGTTAATTATATATAAATTACAGAATATGAAATTGTAAGATACCCGCGGTTGTTTCAGATAAACATAAAAGTTTTAATTATGATAAGTATATGATAAGTATATACAATTTGACGGAATGTAAACTATATATTAATAAATAAAAACTATATATTAATAATAAAAACTATATATTAATAATAAAAAAATATAATAAATTCGAGATTTTCATGTCATTTAATATTTTAGTTTTCTTTTCAGAAATCAACCGATTTTTTTGTTATCAAATCTATCTCAATAATTTTTTTACAATTGCTTTATATGTAATATTTTGTCGATTATTTTATACTTTTTAATTTATTTTTATTAAAATTATTTTTTTACATAATCTTATTGCTATCTTGATAACAATAAGATAATAAAACATTTAACGTAATAAAACGTAAGATAATAAAATCTTGATAAGAAGAAACGAAATCATATAGTATGTATATTGGTATTATATACAGGATAAAATTTATACGTCAAAAAATTTTATTATATCAACGTTTTCCAACATTTTCTTTTTGAAGAAGATGTCAATAATCGTCGTGATTATCTACCTCAGGAAAATAAAGTTGGAGACAATCGATAACGTCGCCGTCGCAACGATGGCAAACGGATTGTGGTACCGCAAGTCAATTTTTGTTAGACGTATATTTACATAATTTGTATCTGATGATAGGTTGCAATCTCATTTACATCATAATAACGCAAATTTATGCAATAACTTATACATTGCATTTGATATTTTTTATTCTTATTTTACGGCATCGAGATAATTCGAATCAGTAAAAGTGAAATAGAAAACGTATCGATCACATATAAAACAATTTTGTATATAATCCTTATTTATATTAATATACATTTGTTTAAATATTGTTAAGAATTTATTGAGTAATTATAATTTTTTAATAAGAAATATATGCGAGGACAACAGTTAAAAAATTTCTTATTTCCTTTATAGATTTTCTATAACAATGACAATAACATTATTTAATTCTTCATTTTTATACAGGCTTATGGTATAGTATGGAAGGCAATCGAAAAGAAAAGGAAGGATACCGTAGCGGTGAAGAAGATCTTCGACGCCTTCAGAAATCAGACGGATGCGCAGCGTACGTTTCGCGAGATTATGTTCTTACTGTCGTTCGCCAATCACGAGAACATTATAAAGCTGATTGGACTGCATAAGGCGGACAACGATCGGGACATTTACCTCGTTTTCGAGTACATGGGTGAGTTTTACCCGGTCCGAAGAAGAATTCGCACACATACGCATACGAAGGTCACGCCATGTGCGCCGATTCTCAGACTTTTGGCCTGAAACACGTTTCGGCCCGTTTCCCCAGAAACCGATCTCCACAACGTCATTAAGCGGGGCAACATCCTCAAGGACATCCATAAGGTCTTCATTATGTACCAACTTTTTAAGGCGATCAAATACATACACTCAGGCAACGTTATCCACCGAGACTTGAAGGTGACATTGAGTCTTATGATTTAAAAGTGTGCTTAAAAAGTCCAGTTAATTAATATAATTTTTACACTAAAAAAAAAATATCTTTAGAAAATTTTATATAATCTTAATTTTACTTTTAATTATTAACTTTTAAATGAGCTAAATTTGAAGAATACTTTTTTATGTTTTATGTGAAATCTTTTTCATTTTTTTACCTTTTTCATATCAAATTTTTAATTTGTTGTATTTTTTCATGATGAAGAAAATTAAACACTGCTCCATTATGTCGAGTTTGAGTTATTCTTTCTTTGCAGCCATCCAATATTCTTTTAAATGCGCAATGCCATTGTAAGATTGCCGATTTTGGTCTGGCACGCTCGGTTACACAGATCGGCGAAGGTGATGGTGAGACGGGAAGTGATCCAACTTTGACGGACTACGTCGCTACAAGGTGGTATCGCGCACCAGAGATTCTGATAGCTTCAAAGAGGTACATGTTTATTTAAAATAGAACATAAAATGCAATATTAAATTTTGTAATTGTAACAGAACTGAAATATCATTTTGACTTGCTTCTGTTCGGAAAGAGTTATTCGCGTTTTCATTGTGCGAACTGATGGTTATTAATTTAAATAAAAAACTATTTTCAAAAAATATATAATTTATAATAGTGTTTAATATTATAAAAATATAATTTATTTATAATAATTTATGATAGAGTTTAATATTATAAAAAATACGCGTATCTATATGTATTTGTTCCAAACTTTTGTATTATAAACGTACGTATGAATTTAATAATTAGGTAATTAGAATTCCTTTTATACGCGAAGTTTGGATATTGCAAGGATCGAATTCTATCATCCACATGGCAATATAAATATTTTCAGGTACACAAAGGGGATAGATATGTGGTCTTTAGGTTGCATTCTCGGCGAAATGTTACTTGGGAAGCCACTCTTTCATAATGATAACTTTGCCTCCACCGACAGACGAAGGTAATTCTTCTTTAGCTGTTTAATGAAACAAAGAAAAAAGAGAAAATGAAAAACCAGTAACTGGATCCTTCCCAATAATTCTTTCAGATCTAATATCGGTCAGTGCCGGTTATGGAACTAATTTATTGGAAAAGACACCTAACAGACCCAGAAGAACTTTAAAAGATTTGTTGCCAGAAGTGTCGGAGAAAGCTTTGGACCTTATCAGCAATTTGATAGTCTTCAACCCCACGCAACGGTTTACGGCAGTCGAAACATTAGAACATCCATATGTCGCTGAGTGAGTATATATTTATAATAAATAAATATAACATCGCAGAAAATGTAAAAAGATTTAAAATTAAATTTATTTTGTATTTGATTAAATTAAATTTCTATTTTCTTTGAGAAAAAAATCATCTATGGATTTCCTTTAATTCAATTGTTCTTCGCTCACAATCAATATTTATAATTCATTATCTGTACGTGTGTAGAGAAAAAAACAATCATTTTTTTAAATTTGTACTGAAATATCTGAATTATATTTAAAATATTTGATATATATTATGTAAATAAAGTAAATTGAAGTAAATATTGTAATTCCCTTTTCAACAGTTTTCACAGGAGAGGAAACGAACCGGAAAGAGGCTCCAGTGTCATACCGTTGTTAAGTGACGATGTGCAACTCTCAGTCGACGAATATAGAAATAAGCTCTATGCGATGATGGACGAAAAACATCGGAAACATAAAAATATGTGAGCATATATTTATTCACACAGTCAGCGATTATTCTTTTACCCAACGATTGCTGTATTATTAAAATTTGATGTAATTGGATTTCTCCATTTTTTTATAAAATAATTTTATAAATAATTTTATAAATAATTTTAATAAAAATAGATATATATTTCATAACAATTTTCTTCTTCGTTTTTTGTATTTTTAGGTCAAAATCCAGGCTGCGGCGATTGTCTGAAAGCATTAGGAAGGAAACCAGAAACCCGGTGATCGGCCAAGGTGACACGATTGTCGGTGAGAGGAATATATTATTTGAGATTTCAGCTTCTACAATCTCATTCTATTAATTTCTAAACATACATGAGTGGAAAATGCCATATTCGGTCAAAGCTTTTCGTACCTAATAATATTTCTTGTAAATTTATATAATTTCTAGCTCATTTCTAATTCAAGCAAACTATATACGCAGATTATTTGTCAGTCTTGAAATATAGTTCTAAACCAAAGTTGGAGTAATATAAAATTAAATTGACAAGCATTTTAATATTAATTAATGCTATTAATTCTTAGTTTATTTTTCTGTAAACTATTTCCTTTTCAGCGTGCTCGTCATTGCCAAGCAAAAAGACAATCAGGCCGTCTCAAGACGATAATATTCCACGAGGCATTACAAGAACACAGATGATAAACAATTCCATAGAGCCACCAGCACAGGAGACCTTAACAAATACCCGGCATAATGGTAAGAATCTTACTAAAATTATTTCAATTTTATAGTAAGCCTGGAGATTAATTGATGGATGTGTCTATAACATCGGAAATTATACTCATCGAGATTATACTAATCTCCAAGAAATAATTCCAATTACACTGCATTTGTGATCAATTGACAGTTAGGAACGTGGCGACACAGTACGCATGTAATTTGACGAACGGAAACATACCCCCAGCAACGGCAAAAAGTTGCTTCTACTTTAATCAGCAGCAGCTGTCGAAATCCCAGCGTTCCATTCAATCAGATCAGATGGCTATGGTGAGTGTAAGATTATTTTTTTGTTTATCTCACACTCCTCCATGTTTGCTCTGTCGCCTCCTTGTTAAGAGTCATCTTATATGGGAAGGTAAACGGTAAATTTTGTTATTACAGGCTGCATGTCGTGTGGGATTTGCGTTTAGTAGGTACTGTAACCACTCATTTTATGTATCACCTAGCAGATTGCATTCGACATTAATTTATGCACGCTATAAACACGTTTGAGAGTAAACTCTTAACCCCGCCGTAATAGCAAGTGCCGTGTAAATAACATAGTTTAGATAATTTTTTATTTCGATAAAGAAATAAATAAATTTTGAATAACAACAAAGTAATAAAAGAAATTTTATAAGTTAATTTGCAATTTTAATTGTATCGAATCATTTTGTTGCACGACATAAAATGCTTTTCAATAAAGTATTTCATTATCGCAGGGTTAAACACGTCGATAAACCTTAGGAGTTTAATTGTGCATTATACAACTGGTTAAAATTACAAAAGTGAGCAAATTACTAGTGTTGACCAGTGAAATTATAAATATTCTAGTAAATTAGCCATTTTTGTAATTTTCTTCAAGTTGTATAATACACAATCGAACTTCAGTTTTCATCATGTATGTAGTCTGCACTTTTGTCGAATTTGTTGATATAGCTATACATCAAGATTAATTCACACTGCTGTATACATTCGTGTCGATATTTCATCGTGCGTATGGAATTTCTTCAATTTCAGTACGGCTTCAGAGGCAGATCAAACCAATTAACAGCAACAGCACAACGCATCAAACCGCGAAGAGTCAGCAGGCAGCAAATCTTTACACAGGCGCCAAGGCCCTTCACCTCGGCATCTGCTAATTGTCGCGGCGACAATCATTGGCCTAAAAAGATGCCGACAAAGCTGATCAGGATCAGCGACAGTCCGAACACAATTAAACAACCCAGCAACGTTGCAAGGACTGTCGTCAGGACCATGGACGTTAGGACTACAGGAGTTAGCAGTCCAGAATCGCCATGTATTGGTCACCAATCACAAGCCATCCGCAACTATTTCAATCAGGTGCCGTTGCTGACTCAGCAGCAACCTCAAGTGCGAAATCTCACCTCTTGCCGCGGTAGGGATAACATCGTCAACAAATCTTTCGCCGTGGATACTGTGACAACCAACAATTGCTTTAAAAATGCAACGCGCGGACAAGGCAACAGATTACACGCGAAGCACAGCTTCGACGCCAGCTACGTCGGTCAGAAGAGACCGTCGACGACGTGCAACAAGTCGAGGTTTCTGAACAGCCACAGTCAGAGTCATGGCGTGATAGCGGAATCGGTTTACAAAGATCTCTGTAATGGGACTATAGGATGGTGAGTGTGCGGCGGGTAGGCTTCGCCGAGGATGAAGAACAACGATCAGAAAATCATGCGACGATCGCTTTACTTTTCTTTCGAGAAGATCCAGATGGAGACGGAATATTCAAACCGATCGTGCACACGAATTCTTTTCAGCGAGATTTTTTTTCGCGAGAAAGATGATATGTTCTCGAGCGTCTCGGGGATCTTTACACGCGGAGTATGTGGACGGAATTCGGAAAAAATCTGTAGTTGAAACTCTTTCAACTTACAATTAAGCCGATACGGACACAAAACACGCAACATTTTTAAGCAATATCATTTTTTTCTATTTCTTCTAGATCTATTTTGTAATAATATATATAATTGATATTTTATCGATAGTTTTTTTTATATATTCGTCTTGTAGTTTATCGCAATGCAAACAACATTTTGTAGTAATTATATATATAGTTCACATTTAATGAACCTTTTTTTATATTCGTGTTATAGTTTGCTGTAATACAAACAATTGTACAGCAAAAGTAAAAGAAAATTTTTATTAATAATTCCGCGATAAGAAACAGGCGGTCGTCGTAAATTATCCTAAAAGTTTGTTCATTCATCCTCGTGCAAGAAGCATGTCGCCTCATGCGAACGTGAACGCGATCCAAGGTTCCTGAGTAAATAAATTTTACACAAAGTAGATGCATAATTAACGATATCAATGTGCTTTCGAGTTCCCACGGGTATAATCGGAGATTATGCAGTCAAAAACGACCTCATTCTAAGGAACACACAAATAAAATATCAATGTTTGGAAATAAATATGATCTTTAAGAATACTACCTCGTACCATAGCTACTTTTTATACTACGTCGAAAGGGCAAGTGGGAGACGAGCATTTGAATGCAGTTTCTCTCCTTTTCTGTAACGAAAATGCGACAATAAGAGATCATATAACAAGACAATAAGAGATCAAAATTTGTTTTTACGGAAAAGGAAGATCTTTTTTTTTTTTTTTTAAGTATCGTCGCAATTGGGAATACCTTCATCCATTTCGACAAACAGCAAAAACGAAATAAAGAGCAGAAATTGCGTGAAGACTGCAGTGATTATCCCGTGGGAATACGAAAAACGTAGGAATTTAGGACGTAAACAATACGATTCACGTGGGGCCATACTGCAGCGGAGCATACATATTTTTCTATGCCATTTTATTTGTATGACGTGAATATATGAACACGTACACGACACACGCATATAAACATGCACGTACGCACTACTAGTAGGTATCTATCATCGATTTAGTGTACAAATCTCATTGTATCATACCTTGTGTCGTAATGTCATTGCGCAGCGATGATCGACAGCGCTCGGACTTATTACGTGCTATTCGTATTGTGAGAATAAAATTTTAATAAAAAAGAAAGAGTCTTTTTATTAAAGAGGAAGCAATTGATAATAAACGCCTATTCTCAGAAAAGAAATGATTTGCACAGTGGAGCAGCTAGTTAACGTTGTCCGTCTGTGGTACATAAGGTACTGGACTCTAATTGACTGATCTTTAATTCATACTTGTCTTTATTTTATTGTTGATCCCTCCTGTCATGTCCTGGAGCAATCTGTATGTTTGAATTGTCATAAATATTTTTCAGTTCAATGTTGATACGTTTTAAATTATACGAATGACTGATGTGTCCTGGGAAAAACTGTTGCACATCGTTTCTTTATCACAGTTATCAGTTTTCGCTGTTGAAAACTTTAGATCTAATTCTTATTTTTTTAATATTCAAGATATTTCATTTAATTGAAAGTTACATAATTTATTTAATGAATGCAACAATTAAATATATAGAGTCAAATTTATCATTTGTCTGGCATGTAACAATAAGCGTTTTAATGTAATAACATTATAAATTCGAAACATTAACAATTGTATTCACAAAAGAATGACTTACTTCTACAATACAAGAATAGTTTTAATACTTATCGCAACATTTTTAGACCTAACACCTATCAGCGATAGTGAGCTTACCGAGAGGACAGAACGCCGCAAAAGAGGAAGATCAACATAAGAGACAAAACAAAATCAAATATTCGCGTTTTTCATGTCTACAAATGTTGCATGTTACAACCTTAACATAGTGATTTTACTAATAACTAGTACGCAGAGCTAAACTGAACTGAACTCAAACTGAATTATTAATAACTAGCACGCAGAATGTACTCGACCTGAATTACTATTTAACATTCGCTTACAAGAGATATATGACACATTACCATCAGCGATCGTCAACGCGTTCTGCAACAATGTAAAAAGAACGACCAATTTTCATGTCATCAGTCGAGATTAGCGAAGTTAGGACATCATATTTTTAATTTTTATTGTAAAAAATGCGGAATTCTTTTTTATTTTTATATATAAGGAACTGTAAAACTATTATATGAAAAGTGCTTATACTAGAACGACTTTTTTTTAAATATTAATTATACTGTGAAGTTAAATTAGCACGACATTCTACTAATAACAGAAATACTGGCAGTTTCAATAGCATTTTTCGTAGTTTATAGTTCCTTGGTGAAATAAAAAGTTTCACATTTATCCTGTACACTAAAAAATAAAATAGAAAATATATCATGCTAACTTCGCAAATCTAGCACGACACTAAAGCACAAAAAAGAATAAATATTAACAACTGCATCCAGTACGAAACTTGAAAATTGTCATCTTGATCTTCTTATGATTTTGTATTCTACCTAAGTAGAAGACTTATATCAGTATCGATAACTTTTCTCAAGTATGGAACCATCTAATTAAGTGTGTAGAAAATTCAACAAAAAAAAACTTTTTTATGGAAGTATCTGATAATATCTGTCTAATGTCTAGAGATCCACGTAATTATTATTTCGATTCGTATTTATTCAGAAAAGCAAGGGTTTTACTGTAAGGGATTATTAATTTAACTTTATAAAAAAAAATTGAGAATTTATAAAAAAAATATGTAATTGTGACTTACTCTTCGTGAAGGATTGTGATGCGATAGATTATTGGAGATACAACGTAGAATCTTCACAAGTTTCTGACGAAAACCACGCGTCATCCAACAATAGACCACGGGATTCAAAGCACTGTTTGCATGTCCCAAAAATAGGAAGTACTTCAGTGTGTCATTTGTTGACGGTGATGGACCTGTAAATAAAGTGTATAAGAAATTGATTAAAATTAATTAATCCGTACTTGATGTGAAAAAGATTGCATTTTTATTATTTTAAACTAGGTTATTTTTATTATTATATATATAGATTCTTATTACAAAATTTACTTGGAGATCGTAGTCGGAGAAATCACCAAAAATAGGAAATGTGTCAAGTACTTACAATTGATATTTTAGTTACAAAATATAAAAATATTGCAAGATCTTGCACTTACCAATAACGTCGAGATCAATCAAAAATTTAGCAATATTGTAGGGCATCCAGCACAGAGCGAATAGTATAGCGAGGAATAGTAATATCGATGCAACTCGTTTTCTGTCATGTCGTAATTTGGAGCTCTATGAATAAAAGATATCAGCGTATCTAGAATAGATTCCGCAAATTTTCGGAATTCGGCTGCGTTTTTAGGAAAATTCTTAAATTATTGCTAATAGTTTAATTACAGAATTTGAAATCTCTCATTGATCTGACCTGCCGCGAACTGGCGCTATCCCTGTTATCGCAATCGAAGGGTGGCTTTTTAGACCAAAGAGTGAAGCCAATCATCGAGTAGGCCAGTAATACAACAAGACCTAAACACACAATAAAAAAACACAAAGAAAAAAAACAAAGACCAGTAATTTTATTAAGTACGTGTTCCAATCATGTGCTTGTGAAAAGGTAAACGTATAAAATTTTCTAAAAAATAATGTAATATTGTTCTTGTTTAATAAAAGTAACAAGTTAATATTAGTTCAATCGCCTTTACTCAGAAAGTATTGTGTACGGAAGTAACTGATGAAATAATAACATACGTACATATATAAGCAAGCACCTGCTTTATGTGTAAAGTCAAATTTAAATTTAGATTGTAGATTATTAAGATTTATGTATGGCAATATGAATGTAAGAATTTGTATGCATGTTTGTTATGAAAAAATTATATAAAGAGGAGGTTCTTGTAATACCATAGGGCAACAATAAATATTTATCTATATATTTAAACTTACATGGAATAGCGGTAGAGAATACGAAGTGTATGCTCCCGAAGACGTCTCGTTTAATTCCTAATGACGTAAAATCCTCTATACACATATTGAAACCTGGTGGTATTGGCGAGATGCTATTGTGTGTAAAATTCTCGCTTGCCAAGTCCAGAGCCTTGTTGATGACTTCCGTCATTGGATTCTGGAGTCTCGTCTACGTAAAAAGAATGATCATTCGCTTATGTTATATATGTATATAAAAAGTGTATATATGAAATAGATGTAACGGTCTTTACTTCATTATTAGTTTCCACAATTTGACAATTAATCAGCACAGACTCGGTATCAAAAGACTTACCGCTCCGTAGATTGTAATTAAAAAAGCCAAAGATGCCAGCCAAATTGATATGATAACGAGAATAATATTCTTATGACTACATATATAGCGGAGAATCATGGGATTTCTTATAGCCAGGTATCTATCGATGCTCATAGCCATAATAGTGTATATTGAGGCAGTAACACCTACACCTGTTACACGCACGAGTGATTATGCAATTAGAAAATTTATAAATGTAATAAAAAATATTATATATTTTTTATATCGCGCACACACACACACACACACACACACACACATTTCCATTCAAATCGGATAATTATTTATATTTATAATTTTTTTTATACATATGTAAAGTGTTATACAGAAAATATACACAAGTACAGTAAGTGATCAAATAATCAACAATATTATTCACATAATAAAATTAAATAACATAAAAATACATACAAATGATAAGTGCGATTAGACTGGATTATCAATTATTGAGAGCTTTGTAAAAATTCTTACTTTGCAGATAAGAAGTTAATTTGCACAGGAATTCACTGTGATTCCATGACATCGATATTTCCTGACTGATTGTCATTGGCATGCATATTGTGGCAACCAATAAATCAGCCATGGACAAATTAATCACAAAATAATTTGTAACGCTGTAAGAAATTGTATCTTTTACACATCTAATTTTACACATATAAGCAAAGTCTGTCTTTTTTCTGCGATTTATTTATGTATGTATAAATTTAAATATATTAATAAAATCTAAAACTCGATTATATTTTTTATTAATATT